AGTGTATAACCAAATATTAGGTTATTCAATGGCTCAGTTGCAACTAACTCTTTTTACATGTTTGCTTGTGTTACTGTGCATAAATTAAAAACTGCTTCATACACAACAGACTTGTCAGAGTGTGAGATGCATTTTTCTCATTTGTAAAGCCTTCATACCCTTGACCTCCTAAAGTTTTATTTTCTCTGCTTATGACATAGAGATGGCTTCAGCTAGAGTGAAAGCAGTGATATAGAGCACTCAGTTGCAAGTGTGAGACACTTCTGTCCACTGTGGTTTGCTCTGACAACTTTGGAGACTTTGATATTCCTCGAGCAAAACACTGTAAAACCATAGCACCGTAAGCACACACCAGCAATCATAAATCACTCAAAACTAGAGTGGAAGACTCCCCCCGCCCGTTTTTTTAAAAAGGAGTCTTCAGCCGGGCCCTGCAGTGACAAATGACATCGGCAGCAGTGGAAGGATACCTGAAGGATACAAATCGCGTGAGGCAGCAGGGTAAAGGTGGTGGGGGGCGCTGTCTGAAGTCCAAACTCTAATCTGTATGATGGGGTGTAACACCACACACAGCGCTGTTCTCCATCAACCTTCAACCTGACGTCCCATCTGTGTGCAGAGGGTAATGGAGGGGGGTGTTATTAATCACCCCGCTGTTTGGTTGGTTGGATATGGGGGGGGGGGCTGCTGATGCAGCCCAATGTACAGCCCAGTGCTGTCTGGCTCCAGAGAATCAATCTCTCTACCTTGAGTTCATTCTTACTATCTAAGAATGCAATGCAGATGCAGAGATGTATGTACACATATAAGGACTTGAGGACTGTGGGTGTATGTGCATGTGTGTGTGCACATGTGAGTCGGAAAAGTGGTGTGAGCAGCTGCAAATGCACACATTTCTCTTTCAATATTGGTTCTCCTCAGAATGCATTTTCAGACTATGTGCACGTTGTATAAAACAGCCATTTGTTCCACCCTGACCTCACCAAACCTTGATTGATGAGTCATTAGTGGATGCACCCATAATGTATATTTCCTGCACACACACAAACAGCAGAGTAGTGCTGAAGCTTTCATTCCACAAATTTGTCAGCAACATGAGCTATGCAGCTCGTAGTCAGTCAGACACATGTGACATTCCACTTTGACAGCAGGGCCAAGGACAATAAATGACTTACCCAAAGTGGCATTTAGGGACTGCTAAAGGTCACAGCTAAAGGTCACAAGAGCAGGGCTTGTGCCTGTCAGAGAAACTGACTGTGTGAATGCTTGCATGTGTATTAAGATGTCAAAGTGTCATGAGATGTGACTTGCAGAATGAGATGGACTACAAACTACCTTGTTTATGTAGGTGTATGTAGAAAGTTTTATTGAAATAGCAACTGCCACTGCAGCTGCTACTGAAACATCCCAACATCTACTGCCATAGAAGTTTGTTTTCTGGAGATTATTCACACACTCCTTCAGACTTTGATGATCCCTTGACTTTTCTCTAGTGCCACCAACAGCCTAGTGAAATATCTCAACATGTAATGGACGGATTGGCAGACAGACATTCATGGTACCCAGATGATGGATCCTACTGATTTTGGTGTAACTCTCCACCTTTTCCTTTAGCGCCACCATGAGGTACACAAAATGTTACACAAAACATCAGGTCAAATGTTCAATTTGTCCAAAACTTTGGTTTATGACCAAATAGCTGCAAAACTACTGTCATCCACACTACCCTTAGCTGCACTTATATTTATATATTATAAACAGTATATTCGCATTGTCAGTGTGAGCGTGTTAGCATGCTGCTGTGCCTAAGTACAGCCCCAGAGAGCCGCTAGCATGGCTGTAGACTCTTGTTTCCTATTGAACTGTACTTTTACTACACATATTTTACGCATATTTGTTTTTTATTATATTAGTATCTCTTTCAGTCACACAACAGTTAAGTGAGTAAAGCATGAGCTCTGGATGCGGATTACAAGAAATTTAAATATGAATCTACAATTAAAGGACCATGAAAGTACCATTAACTGTATGTTATCACCTTTTGTTGAGTTTACTGATAAGTACAACAATATCAGTTCATGCTATGTTAAGATTTTTTTGGGAAGATTAAAACAATTCAAATGTATAAATACAATATTTCATTATCGTGGATAAGATCATGATCCCAATCTTGAAGAGTCTAAATATAATCTTTAGAACATGACAATATTGATGAAAATATTGACCCGTAACATCCTATCTAGACTGTGAAAGCGCTGCTACTGCGCTTACTTTCTGAATGTGTCTGATTAATGCCCTTATGATGTGATTTGAATATAAAAGGCATTTACTATAAATAGCTTTCTCCAAATATGAGCCAGGCTTCTCAGTGCATGTAACCATTTTGCTCATGAAGCATTCAGGAGCTCTGTTAATTAGCAGCCTGTGTACAGAGGCCTCTGAGTGGCAAACAAGGTGAGTGAGTGAGATTGTTCCTGTCAGGCAGGTAACAGAGCGTGAACATCCCATTAAACACCTCTTTTTTCCTCTCGAGACCAGATTTTCTTTCATTCACATGGATCACTGTGCTTTAGACTGGCCTCTCAGCACCTCCCTGAGCAGATCCACCACTCCGTCTCCATGTTACTATACAAATGCCCTGAAATGATGTCCCCAGACTACAAGTGGCTACTGCAGCTGCTGTTGTTATTCAGTGCCAGTTGGTTAATCCAGCCAAAACTATTCAGTCATTTATTGCGGAGAGAATTAGAGGAAGTTATAGCTAAGTCTGGGACCCCATGCAGTTATGGCAGTGCATTTTTAAAAAATGATTTCAGGGAGACAACCTGGTGATGAATGTACTGTTGCGTTATGTTTGTATGAGCTGGGAAAAGTGATGGAAGTAGATGTTGACTAAACAACCCCAGGGAAGACTGAAGACTACTGAACAATTTATGAGCTGTCATGAAATGTTGGGGTTCTTTTTTTCAGTGGGAAAATAACAGTGATTACCAACGCCTGTCATGCAGTGAAATCCTTGAGCAGGGTGGGTTACAGTTAGTACGCGTTTATCTGTTCGCACACACAAGACTCTTTAAATTAGATAGTTTTCACAGCATAACAGCGCTGAGGTGCAGCTTACCTTCCACTCTCTCTGTATCTGTTTCCACCTGAGGCCAAGGTGAAGCTCTGTGGATTTACCACTTTATTTGTTGTTACTTTGAGGCTGTAAATAGGCCGACTCAGACAGAAGATTCCCTAACTACCCCCCGATGCATTGGGGCATCCCCTTGAGTGTGTTTTTTCTCTGCGCTTGTATGTTTTGAAGCAAACATTCCTTAATGCAGCTTCAGTCCAGATTATCATTAACTATGTATTCAAAGCAAACATGAGAGAGATTTTTCTAAGTAGCTCTAATCTCCATAAAGCCCTTGCTGCCATGATTAAAGAAAAATATTTTTCATTTCATTCACATCTTCGAGGAAAATCATGCTTCATATTCAGAATCCTTACATTAGCATCTTTTTAAAGTTTCCAGATAGCGCAGCAGTCCTGCACAAATGCTGCTTTTTCTTCAATTCAGAGAGAAGGAAGCAAAACTTCCAGCAGCGCTCACTCAGACAGATATGTGTGGGTAGATAGGAAGCTGGCTCGACGCTGCCAGTTCCGTCATGCCAGACTGAAGGATGAATGTCACCGTGGGCACTAATGCCAGTTGAGGGATGCCACCATAGATTCCACCCCAAGACATCTGGAATCCCAGGTGCCCTTCCTGCCGATCCAGGTCTGAGCTACAGGAAGCCAAGAGTCCTCATGGATGCCAAGAGCTTTGCAACACCAGCCAAGCCACACTGAAGCTTATCAGCTCCACCACAACCCTTTATGGGCCTATTCACCTCAATCAAAGCTGTTATTTAGGTAACGAGCCAAGATGGCGGATATCGCTGCGCTCCAATTACCCACTATGTCTCTTCCATCTTTCCCTGCCAGCTTCCCCACAAGCCCTGATTCTCCTCAGCGTGCCCAGCTGCTCTGGCGCTGCTCCGCTTCCTCAGTATCTGTGCAGAGGGAGACCTTTCAGAACAGAAGGGCTCTGTCAGCGCTAGATTCACTCACAAGGGCTATTGATGACTGCTGTGGTGTTTGGTACAGCAAGCCTTATCAATAGAAGGAAGGTGTCCTTTAAAGTGCAATGTCAGTGGCAAACACCGGCGTCCAACAAACCAACTCTGAGCTGTAATCATAATGTTTTAATGAACATGTTGATTGAAATGATTATAGAAGTTGGAAAACAGAGCTTTAATCATTTATTCTAGATTCCTGATCATTTAGCATTTGATGAGTATTATTTTGGCCACCTGCAATGAGAGTTAACTATTACAAATTCACTTAACTTTGGTGCAATTAAATTATGTTTTTTGAAAGACACAAAATTAAAGCTATTTTTTAAGGATAACCGTAATATCTGTATCATAGCAACACTGATTAACTTTATTGTACAGTTTTTTTTAGTAATATATTAACTAACCAGCATACCTTGCACTTTTCTCCATGCTAGCAGCACGGCTTTAAGGATGGCAATGTCTGTCTGTCTGTCTGTCTGTTGGTCAACCACTTTAGTCCAGACTTAAAAGCTATTGGATGAATTGGCACAAGAATTTGCCTCGTGGGGCTCACCAACTTTTAATCAGCAGCTCACATAGCAGCAAATAATTATATGATAATTCAGCCAGTAAAGATGTTCAAAATAGCTACACTATTCTTACACGAGATGGCAGTAAATGCTACGAACATGGGACTTGCTCTAACTCACTGCGTGTTGCCAGTTTCTTTCCGGCCAAGTGTTGTACTACATGTAGTAATGCCTGAACTGATTTGTAAGTAAAATCTGAAAAGTAACTTTATGGAATATATAGTACAATATTTCTCTCTGAAATATTGTGAAGTAAATATAAAACAGTATGAAGTAGAAATACTCAAATAAAGTACAAACACCTCAAAATTGTACTTCAGAACCGTACTTTGGTGATCATTTAACTTTTTATTTAGCTCCATCATCAGGTCAAAACTTTAATTTGAAATCCAAATCCATTTTATTGTCCAATTGTCTTTGTAAATAGAAACAACAAAATGGCGTCTTTAAACTGAGTTGTAGTTCATAAAACTCATTTTAGGGTTTTTGTCACCATCACATACTGAAAAGAAGGAAGCCACTGAAAGTGTTGTGATTATCTTGATCATCATAAAGACTGTACCCAGAGGGAAGCTGCATGTACACCAAATCTCCCTCATTCAGTTGAAGAGTTAATGCATTGGACAGGTACAAATGGCCTTCATTATTGTTGTGTTCCCAGTTCGACATTATTTTCTGGTTATTGCAGTATAGGTGAAGACCAAAATGTCCCCCATTGCGGTAATCAAACGCAGTGAATCTGAAGTAATAAACTCCTCTGACTGGTGCGATGAACATGCCTGTTAGGTAAAAAGTGCAAATTAGTATTTGTGCAATGTGCAGTTAAGTATCCTTGGATGTGTTTGTTATTGAACTGTACCTGATGTGGGATTATAAGAATTGCCAATGTTGGTAAAGATTTTGCTGTACTTCAGGTGGGTGTCCGTATTGAATGGCCCCACCCGACCGGTCAAACCCACAGAGAAAGCGGTCTTGCCTATAAAAGAATGATATTGTATAAGTGATTCAAATATTAGATATTCTCATAATCACTTTCACATATTGAAAGTCTTGAGGTTACAAAAGGATTTGACGTCAAGACTTTCCTTTGAGACAGTTTAAACATATTTCAGTCAGCCAAATCACATGGAGTGGATTAATATATGAATGCTGAATATGTACTGAGTTGGGGTTTTTTTTGTTTTGTTCCAGGTTTGAATCTCATCACAGCATGGATTTAGCAGTTGCTGGCCACCCTAATCCCACAATGCATTGCACAGTAGGAACAGAGGAGCTACTCATGCCTAGAAAAAGTGATAACATTTTGAACAGTGGATTGAAGGCTACTCTGATTGCTTGGTTATAAATAATGTATGTATGCATTGACAGCAATGGTTTATATGTAGCATTTACTTTATAGTATAGGTATGGAACTGGAAACACATCCAGGGCTAAGTTTATATATGCCTCATATATCTAAAGTAAGATATCAAACCTATTAATATCCATTGAGTAAAATGGAAAACCTATTTTATGAATTAGGCTTTAAAATGGTCTTTAAGAACTATGGTCCAGACATTAATAGGTACTTTTATCTTGTGTGTCTGTCGTGGGCTTTACAAAAAAGTGATATATAACCTTTTAATATCAAGTCGTTTGTCTATGTTACCTGCAGTCTCTTTCTGCAGTTGCTCAATGTCATTGTTTTGGAGCTGCTGTTTAGTCATTGTGCTGTTCAGGTCCGCTCTCAGAGTCACAACTTCCATCTTCTGCCCCTCTGCTTCCTTTTCAGTGGCTGTCATTCTGACGTCCACGGCATTTAATCTGGTTTCTTGCTCTGGGTGTGCAGACAGAAAAGCAAGGGAATGGGTTTTTTATATATATATATATATAAATAAGTACAAATGTCCCTATCTAGAGCAAATGTTTGGTTTGTTCGTTCTGGGCTACGATAGAAACATGGTAGTTCAACATGCCAGGCTCTATGAAAGGCAACTTGCTCCCTCTTTAACTAAAAACAGCTAATTCTAAGGTAACAAAAACTATTCTTATTTTCATGTGATTATACACCAATTAAAACATACTTATAAATAATATATTAAATTTCTCCCTATGTCCTTCTAAATGCACACTGGACCTTGAAATTGTATTATAAATTAAAGTTCAGAAGTCTAGTTAAATAATATAACTCAAGAATTTCAACTCCTTTATTGAACTAATATGAGTCAAGATAATATCAGATATTCTTTTATAATTATTTAACCTGAAGCTTCATGCTCACTCATTGTTTAGACACAGACCACAATGGAATAAAGTTATTTATTTATTTGTTTTGGGTCCAGTCAAACATGGGATCATTGTTGGTATCATACCTGTTTTTGCTTTCTCCAGGTCGTCTACAATTATCCTCTGGAGTTGTATTTGTTTCTCAGTGGTACTTAACACTCCTCTCTGATTGTCCAGGTCTTTCTCACTGGCTGCCACTCTCTGTCCAACATGCAACAGTTCTGCTGATAGCACTAGAATGATAACGAGGGGGAAAACATAAGCTGCTAATATGCATTCAACAGATCAACATAACCAACAATCTCCAACTTGTAAATTATATCATAACAAAGCAAATATTCAAGGGATAGCCTTGGGCTAAATTCATTTATGATATTCCTCAAAGTAAAATATTTGAATCAATATTTGAAGAGAAAAAAACAGCAATGGAGGTCATGTAAATGGATACTGTTACCACCAACTACAAACCAAAATACTGACTATGTGGAAACTTTTACATCTAAAAAGGATTGTATTTCACTGCAGAGCAGACAGTTGTGAATAGGGAAAGGTGCCCATGTGCCTGTGGATTACTGTGGATATTATTTCTGCATCCACAAAGCCAGGATCTCATGTATTGTCACCCTCAAACAACTAAGTAATTCTTCAGTGCTGTTATGGGTCATCTGTTTCTAATGTTTGTGGCAGAGTGTACGACATGTACCTGCTTTCTCAACCTTCCTTACATGGGCAATAAGCCAGTGTCTAGATGGGAACCCTTTTCATATTTTCACATTTTATTTGTCTGAGAGTTCTTAGCAATTCAAAGAAGACATATTCTAATCTTAATACATTGATTAAAAATTTGAGTTTAGCACCTGCGTTTTCCTTCTCCAGCTCAGTCATCTTGGTCTTGGTGACCACCAGCTCTGCTTTCTGCTCTTCCACCTTTTTCAACGTGTACCCCAGTTCGCTTGTGAGAAGCAAAACTTTACTCTTCTCTTCCTCTGCCTGGATTTCGGTGTCTCTCACTCTGGTCTCCAGATTCCTCAGCTCTACCCTCTGCTCCACCACAATGGTTCCCAGGTCATGCACCATGCCTCTCAGCATTTTCAGTTCATTCCAGATAGCAGCAATGGATGGATCAGGTGTTTGAGCCATCCCTGATGACAGGAAGAATAGCACTAGCACTATCTGAACCACTGAACCCCTCATTCTGAACACATCTGAGAAAATATGGGCAGCTCAATTACCTTATATTCTATCAGTATAATGGTGTAAGCCACTGGATGGGAATGTAACAGGTGTCCATCAGAAAATGTACATTTCAACAGACTCACTGATAACAGTTGGTAAATAAACTAGTTAATCTGACCTGTTGTGGGAAGAAATGAATCTGTTTTGAGTTTCAATGTCAAACATGCAGTTCGACCAAGATGGTGGCTGTTCTTACGGCCCCCAACACAGTATTATATTACCCGCAGCCACCTTTTCATGTACATATGACTGCACATTGTGTGAAATGACAATAAAGTTGAATTTATTTGAATTGAAAACAGTCTCCACAATACATACAAAGGCACCAAATCATAACACTGTTACAATATATCACAATGAACACAAATCAATTTTAATATTGTTTTCCTCTTGGTTGCAGTTAATATTCCAGGTTGGTGTAATTTTGGACAGTAACTACAATTCCAGGTTATTTCAATGTTATTCTACTAAATCTCAGGAATCATTTTAAACTAACACTAAAAGTGAATTCAATAATGCTGCACTACTCAGCAATCAAACCTGGATAATATAATGAGAAGCAATAAATGATATTCTAAACTAAATAGAATGCATCTAATTCATTTAATATTGGATAAAATGTATTTTAAAGGCCTAATTTTACACTCCTAATTTTATACCTAATTCTACAGATATTTGTTCAACTATAAGTTTTATGCCACTCTACCTACCAGCAACCCTAAAGCTCACTTTAACATGTCATATCGATGTTGTCCCCTTAAAAAAGCTAAATGTAAAAGGGAGAGATTTGGCAGATCTTGTTACCTTTCGACAGAGCCAGTCTTGCAGTTTCTTCCTGTTTCTGGTCTTTATGCTAAGCTAACTGGCTGCTTGGCTGTAGCTTCATATATAGCATGTAAGAGCACCCAAGAGTGGTATCAATGTTCTCATCTAACTCTCAGCAAGAAAGCTAATTTAAAGCATATTTCCCAAAATGTAAAACTATTCCTTCAAACAATAGGCCTACCTAACATGAGATGAAGATTTTTTTTCATCTTTGAAGACTGTTACCGGCTAAAGCCCACAGTTTCAGGCCCTGAGCCCCAAAACTACATTCACAAGTTAGCAGTAAAGCCTGTAAATTCAAGTGTCAAGGTCTGGGAATACGTACTGTGGCCCTGCCAGCTCATGTGTCAACAAAGCTTATTGTATGTTTACTGTGCTCAGCTGTAACTAAATCCTGCTTATTGCCAGCGGTGACAAATAGCTGATTACTTACTTCACGCTCTTTGTTTATTTGAACCTGTAAATGTGATGTCATGATATTTCCAGAGTCACTAGTTCCTCCCTCAATGTCACTTATTTTACCATAAGTTGAACTTAAACAGCATATCATTATTATATTATATAGCAGTTCATGCTTTATTAAACACCTGTGTATATATGTGAATTATTTTTTTTTAAGTTATTTTTTGGGCTTTTTATTGCCTTTATTGATAGTGACAGCCAAAGATAGACAGGAAAGGGGGGCAGAGAGAGAGGGGATGACATGCAGCAAAGGGCTGCAGGTTGGATTTGAACCCGGGCCGCTATAGCAACTCCGTACATGGGTCGCCATCTGTACCGACTGAGCTAAATGGGCGCCCATATGGGGTGAATTTTAGCAGGACAAAGCTCATATAGGACTTTTCAGATTATTATTATCACAAGGTTAGCAAATAGAATATTGTGGAGCATTTAGCAGCTAAAGAGCCAGATATTTACATCTCCATCAAGACTTGGTAAAGACCAAAAACAGATCTAACAGTGAGTGAATATTGGAATTACATTTATCACGTGGACACAAACTGACTCCAAATGAATGATAATGTTGCCTTTAACTGCTGGATGTTTAAATAAGCATAAGCATAAGAGGTCAGTGTTCAAAATGTAAATATTCCTCTGTCCCCAAGTGGCCAAAAAAATCTGTTTTTGCAGATTTAAGTAAAAGTAAAGAAGCATTACAGACAAAATGTACAAAGTAACTAGATGTTTAATGAGTATATTATATTATCTCTATTTGAAATGCAGTGGAGTAGAGGAGTAGAAGAAAAAGGAACTTACAAGCGTCTCAAAATTGTACTTTGGTTCAGTATTAAAGTAAAGGTATTTAGTAATTTTCCAACACTGCGAACATGTGAGATATGTAAGACGGATAGGATTTCATGACATCATTCTTGGCACAAACTCATATTTCCTGTTACTAGATTTCAACCCTAGAGGTGTAAATGATTATGTTCGTACATAATACGTTCCCGCTGTCCATGACGTTTCAGTTCAGGTTTATTCAGAGGTTGAATTTCAACAGATATTTTCCCAGAGTCACCTCATTGACCTCCAGATAAGACTTCTTGAGTTTATTTGCATAGGTTAAAAAAGGCTTTTCTCATGTTTTGTAAAAGGATAGTTAAGGCCTTGTTGGTATAAATATGCTTTTTTGCCCACACTTGTTTGTGTTTTTATTAAAAGTATTTGAAAGTTTAGAATTTGAAGTTAAGGTTCCACCAACATCTAACATCCCAACACTAGAGAAAAAGCTTTTTAATTTCCGCAAGGCGCTGCTATTCATTTTTCATTCCATTAAAGCATCCTGCTGGTTTGCTTTTGCCGTAACCGGTCATGCACAGAGCGAATGACTAAAACCATGAAGACTGACGGTGACAGGTTAGATAAGAATTTTAACAAAAGACTGTGACGTGTGTCGTGGTGCTAGACGAAGACACCTGACTGTGAAGGCTGCATGGAAGTTTTTCGACTTAGACGCACATTACCAGACACTGATGTCAGGGGACAGGGGAGGTAATATGTGTGATAAGTGTAGGTGGTGGATGGATGATGCATATTCTCGGATTTATGTAGCTGTTATTTCACAAATACTGTTGGTGTTGCGGTATCATACCTGAATTAAGCAGTGTTTGTACAATTAGTTTGTTTTTACTTGTTTGCCTCACCACATGGCAGCAGTTAGCTGCATTAAGATCATTCGGGTAGATTGTCAATTACAGACATGTAAACAAATTTTCTTTCATATACCTTATTGTCTGGGTGACAGCCTTAAATGTTTACCGTTCATTACACTCTCCCATGTGGAATATCCATCACATCTGGTACCTAAGAAGGCTTTAACGAACTGAAAAAGTGTTTCCAAATATTTGACCCAGGTCTCAGTCTTGGTTGTGGGAGCATGAAGCAGCATAGCTGATATCTCATTAGTGATGGAGTAGAGGTCAGGGTGAAAAACACTGCACTCATCACCTGCTGGATGACAAATGAAGCCCTTCATGAGCCACAGGAAGGGAGGAGATGAGAGAGAAAGGAAAGTTAGAGAAAAAGAGAAGCTGACAAGCGAAGAGAGAGAAGCGGTGGTGGAGATGGATAAAGTAAAGAGAGAAAACAAGACAGAGGGAGTTACTCTTATTATTGCCTCTTCTGGTGCTGTAACATCTTTCATTTTTATACATTGTGAAGTTTTTTTTAGTTTTTACTGCCGTTTTCAGAATTTACAACACAGGACCGAGCATCCCTCCAAGGTATGGTTTGTCTGTTTGATTAATGAAAGCACTCAACATAGGCAGTGAAACACTTAAGGGATTCATGCTCATAAGAAAATTGATTACCTTTAACTAGAAAACAATGGAGAATGAGGAAGTGTAATGACTGGGCACCTTACTTTACTTCACAATCATTACAGGGTCCAGGAAAGCAATCACCATGTTTTGTAAAACTCTGGTATTAATGGCTGTTATAAGTGAGAATAAAACATCACTAAAAAACACACACATTTGCTTCTTAGAAGATTGATTACAGGCATCATACGACAAAATGAAACATTAATATCACAAAGATAAGTCTGGTTCTGTTTTGATTAAAATGAAGCCTTGCTAACAGCTATCCTTTTCTTTCAAGCTTTGCAATCACATTTACATGAACATAGGTGAATCTAAAGTGAAGTCAATCACATAAGCTGTTTAAAGGATTAATCTGTGTTAATTTGTACCCTATTTCAAAAACAACTGGTAACCCATCCTTGCTACTTCTTTACAACTAACAATTAGAATTAGGCTTTGCTGCTCCGGATTAAACCAACTCTTTTTCATTTCACCACCCCATTAGATTCATCCTCTCTGCTAATGGGCCTTGTGATGAGCTATTGATCTACAGCCAGGTGTCTCAGGAAATAAGAAAGAGTACCACACCAAACAAAGTACACCAAAACTGAAAAATCTGCAAAGTAACACAGGAGACATGGTTTCAATATTCAATATTCAGGTATTCAACCATCAAAATTGACTGTTTACACTAAGCCTCATCCCCCTTGGTTATTTGCTACGCCTGTCAAGCTTTCCACTCAAGCATGGCACATCATGCAGTTCAATGTTAACTGTTTCAGATTTAGCACTCAAAACTTTAAAAAAAAAATGTTTGGCTTTCTAGCTAATGACTGGACTTTAACTACTGATATGACGACTGTTGCTTGCAGCTAGGGCCAAGGCTAAAACGCTGTGGTTGGTTGAAATCGCCGTCTTTAGGTCACATTTTAATGTTTCTTGATTATTTTTTTCGAAACTAAATGCCTGCAAAAGGAGTCTTAAATATACACATGATGAAATGCTAAATGCTAAAGCTACATGTGTTCTTGTACTGCAGGATAAAGCCCATTAGCTCAGGTATGAGCATCCATGTCTTTTCATGGTTTGGATGCTTAGGACAGGCAACACAGTGGTTACATTTATGCTGTAATCTTCATATATATTCAAACAACAAGCTTTACTTTTACAAAAGAAAAGGATTTAAAGGAATAATCGATGAGTTTAGCAACTATAACGCTACCTAATGCAGATTTGACTGGAGTTAACCTCCCAAAATCAAAATAAATACTGGACAGATTAGCAGCTATTGTTAATGTTAATCCAACCTGATAGTAACATCTTAACTCCCATAAGGTATGATCCAGGTCTCAATAGGTATTTT